TGGTCTCTCTTCTCTCCTCCAGAGGAATCCAATAAGAAACATCCCTTCCCCTGCCCCACATCCTACCGTACAGCCCTGACCTACTACCTGGACATCACCAACCCGCCCCGCACCAATGTCCTCTACGAGCTGGCCCAGTACGCCACGGACGCCGGCGAGCAGGAGCGCCTCCGCAAGATGGCATCCTCTGCTGCCGAGGGGAAGGTGGGAGCTGCAGCCTCCCCAGCAAAGCCACTGGCTTAAACTGGGTGCTGGGGGATCCCCCAAAAGGGATGCAGGACCGTTGGGTACCCCTTGCAAAGAGCTGAGGGGGTGTTTGTGTGTGTGTGTGGGGAAGTAGTCACGCGTTTGCCCTCCTTGCCCGCAGGCTCTCTACCTCAGCTGGGTGGTGGAGGCCCGGAGGAACATCCTGGCCATCCTGCAGGACATGCCCTCGCTGCGTCCCCCCATCGACCACTTGTGTGAGCTCCTGCCCCGCCTGCAGGCCCGCTACTACTCCATCGCCTCCTCTTCCAAGGTGAGTGACCCCGGCTGCAGCTCCACGTTGCCACTGTCCCCTCTCTCAGCTGGAGATGGGACAATGGGGGACTTGCCCTGGTGACACTTTCAGTGACGGGGGAGGCTTTAGTTATCTCTGTGCATGAGAAGAGGGGCTTGTCCCAACTTCCAGTGGGTTTGCAGGGGGTCCCACGCTGCAGCCAGCTTGTGCCACCCTCCCTGCAGCCCTGCTCCTCTTCACCCAGGGCTTGGAAGCAAGGTGACTTTTTAAGGGTTGGTCAAAATTCACTCTGTTTTGTGCCTGAAGCCCTGAAGTTGGTGGCAATATCGAGGGAAGCTCAGTGGTCCTGTGGCAAGTTGGGCACAAGACAGCAGCCCCATGTGGGACACGATTGGAGGCTTGATCTGCCAGGGGAGGAATAGCTGTCCCAACACTAATGATGGGTTAAACTTCTTCCTATCCTTCTCTGAGCTGTGGGGTTGCCCAGGACCTCATCTGGAGATCCTTCTCTGCCTACTGCTGACCACCCTTCCCTGCAGGTCCACCCCAACGCCATCCACATCTGTGCCGTGACGGTGGAGTACGAGACCAAGACGGGACGCCTGAACAAGGGGGTGGCCACCAACTGGCTGAAGAACAAGGTGCCTGACGAGAACAGGAGCAACTCCCTGGTGCCCATGTACGTCAGGAAGTCCCAGTTCCGCCTGCCCTTCAAACCCAGCACGCCTGTCATCATGATCGGGCCGGGGACTGGCATAGCCCCCTTCATCGGCTTCATCCAGGAGCGGGCCTGGCTGAAGCAGCAAGGTGGGTGCCCAGAGACTTCCCCGGGGACCAGAGCTCCTCAAGATGGTGCTCTGCAGGGCCAGTTGGTGTCTCCAAGGTGCTGCTTGTGCTGCTCACATCGCTGATGGGTCCAGTCAAAAGCAGAGCAGGGTGAAGAGAATATAAGAAGGACATGGACCTGATGGAGAGGGTCCAGAGTAGGGCCACGGGGGTGATCAGGGGGTTGGAGCACCTCTGCTACGAGGACAGGCTGAGGGAGCTGGGGTTCTTCAGCCTGGAGAAGAGGAGGCTCCGGGGAGACCTAATAGCAGCCTTCCAGTACCTGAAGGGAGCCTACAGGAAGGCTGGGGAGAGCCTGTTTAGAAAGGCCTGCAGTGACAGGATGAGGGGAAATGGCTTCAAGCTGGAGGGGAACAGATTTAGACTGGAGATTAGGAGAGGGTTCTTCACTGTGAGGGTGGTGGAGCACTGGAACAGGTTGCCCAGGGAGGTGGTTGAGGCCCCGTCCCTGGAGATATTCAAGGAGAGGCTCGATGAGGCCCTGGGCAACCTGGTCTAGTTGGGGGTGTCCCTGCTGACTGCGGGGGGGTGGGACTAGATGACCTTTGGAGGTCCCTTCCGGCCTGGGCAATTCTATGATAAGAGCAGCTGAGTGGTTTTGCCCAGCATGAAAAGGGCTGCCCAGGGAGGGTGTGGAGTCCCCTTCTCTGGAGATTTTCAAGACCCGCCTGGATGCTCCTGAGTAACATGCTCTGACAAGCTCTGGGTGGTCCTGCTTCAGCAGGGGAGTTGGACTAGATGGTCTCTATGGTCCCTTCCAACTCTAAAAATTCAGTGAAGGTGCTTTGTCCTCCGCTTTTGGCCACAGAGGACATTTTTGGGGGACAGACAGACCCGAGCCATTTCTCTGACCTCTGCCACCACGTCTCCAACTAACCCCAGTCGAGTCACTCATTTCTGAAGCTCGGGGGTACCTCTGGGAGTCAGAGTCCCGAGCTTCCCCTGAACAAACAGCAGCAGTCGCACAGCTCTGGGTTGGGAGGACAGGGGGAGGGCAGGGTTGGGGGCTGCGGGGACCCAGCTGATGGGGGCTGTGTGACCCTGCAGGCAAGGAGGTGGGCGACACGGTGCTGTACTACGGCTGCCGCCACGAGCGCGAGGACTACCTGTACCGCGAGGAGCTGGCCCGCTTCCGCCAGGAGGGAGTCCTCACCCAGCTCAACGTTGCCTTCTCCAGGGACCAGGCTGAGAAGGTACCTCCCCAGTCTCCTGCCCGGTGTCCCCCATGGCAGTGGGGGAAGAAAAGGCCCCGAGGGCTGGAGAATCCCAGCTTGGGGCCTTGAGCCTGCTCCTCTGCTGTCCCGTGGAGCCATGAGCATGGGCTTGGCTTCCCCTCCCTGGGCAGGGGCTGTGATGCAGCTCGGTGGTGCAGAGGCTCTGCCCCCTCAGCTCACCTCCACCTTGTTTCTCTCCAGGTTTATGTTCAGCACCTGCTGAAGAAGAACAAGGAAAACATCTGGAAGCTGATTAATGAGGGGAACGCTCATATCTACGTGTGCGGGTAAGTCCGGTGGCAGGGAAGGAGGGGACTTTGGGGAAAACATTCCTGTTCTTGGGAAAATGAGCGTGACTCCAGTTTTGGGCACCTCAATCCAAGAGAGATCTGGAGGTGCTGGAGTGAGTGCAGAGGAGGGCAACGAAGCTGGTGAGGGGGCTGGAAAACAAATCGTATGAGGAGCGGCTGAGGGAGTTGGGGCTGTTTAGTGTGAGGAAGAGGAGGCTGAGGGGAGACCTCATCACTCTCTACAACTTTGTGAAAGGCCACTGTAGAGAGGTTGGTGCTGGTCTCTTCTCACAGGTAATTAGTGACAGAACGAGAGGGAATGGCTTCAAGCTCCAACAGGGGAGGTTTAGACTGAACATTAGGAAAGAATTTTTCACTGAAAGAGTGGTCGGGCATTGGAACAGGCTGCCCAGGGAGGTGGTGGAGTCCCCATCCCTGGCTGTGTTTAAGGGCTGTTTAGATGCAGTGCTGAGGAACATGGTGTAGGGGAGGACTTTGTAGAGTAGGGGAGATGGTTGGACTCGATGATACCAAGGGTCTCTTCCAACCTAGACAATTCTATGATTCTATGACTCAGTTTACCCACTTGTCACAAGCCCTGGGAGGATTGTGCTGTCCTTGTTCTGGGGGAGGGCGTGCGGGTGGGTAGATGGGCTGGGGTTGGGGTGTTCAGAGGTGACCAGACTCTGTGTTACCACCTCACTCATGGTCCTCTTCCTTCCAGTGATGCTCGCAACATGGCCCGGGATGTGCAGAACACCTTCTATGAGATTGTGGCCGAGTTTGGGAACATGACCCAGCCCCAGGCCGTGGACTATGTAAAGAAACTGATGACGAAGGGCCGGTACTCTCTGGATGTCTGGAGCTAAGAGCGGGGCTGGTGGGGCTGGGGAGAGAGCGGGTTCCTCAGGAGAACGTGGGCCCACAGGAGGTGGAAAGTGCCTGCTCGCCCACTGCTGCTGTGGGTGACAGCGTTGTCCCCAGCCCACAGCTACCCCAGTGTCACTCCCAACCCCTCTTTGGCTACAGCAGCCCCCTGGGGTGGGCTGTGTACCCTGGGGGGTGGAAAGGGTTGAGAGGGGCAGGGGGTGTAGCTGAGGCTGTTGTCCAGGAGCCGTGGTGCCCCTGGTACCCCAGGGAGCATCTCATGGCACCAGGGTTTGCCTTGAGGTCAGGGCCAAAACTGATGTGGCACGGGAGGGACAGATGGTGCTGGGGGAGCTCTGGGGTCCTTCCCTGAACACAAGGTGTTGCCTTATCTCCTGGGGCTGGAGACCACCCTGACAGACAGCCTGGGGACAGCGGAGGGGTGGAAGAGCCAGCAGCTGCCTGTGAGGGCCCGGTGTGGGGCAGGGATCTGTCCTTGCCTCCCTCCTGCCCCAATTGTCCATCTCTAGGACGTGGGGCTGGCAGCTGGCTCTGGGCACAGAGCTGCCCCACACCACCAGGACCCCACAGGCCCCCCGTTCCTCTCCCCTACTGCCCACTTTGGCTCTGGCTCCCAGTGGGGAGGGGATGGCTCCTCTCCCTCCAGAAGAGACCTGGTCTGGGGGGCTCTCAGCCCCCAGGGGCCCTGCTCGCTCCCTGGGGTCCTGCAGCCGGCAGCTCCCCTGTGCCCAGCCCCTCCCTCATGCTGTGTACGGTCTTTTTTTTTTTAAATACTGTTTTTATTTTAACATCTTTGTGATTTAATCATGGGAAGAAAAAAAAAACCACCAACTTTCAGGCTTTTCCAATGACTGTAAATTATTTAAATACATTTGCCCTTGCAATAAAAATACTGTTTCTGTCGTTTGCTTCCTGCCTTCCCTCTGGAAGGGAAGAGGGAGGCAGGAGGAGCGATGGCTGTTGACCAGGAGGGAACCTGGGGGACCAGGTGGCAGCTCTGGGTTGAGGCTGAGCCCTGGTGGGGTGGGTGGATGGCTCTGGAGTTCAGCAGAGGTTCTGGTAGTAGCACGGAGCTTCTCTTCCCCTGGTCTCCAGGGTCCCTGAAGCCCTGCTGGGCCCTGCTTTGGCCAAAGCTCTGGCCACAGCCCATGCCATGGGGCTGTGTGGGCCAGCAGGAGGAGCTGGAGATGGTTTTATTTCCCTCCCCCTGACTGGTGTTGGGGGACCGCTGCCTCCTGAGCCAAAACCATGCAGCACACAAGCTGTTCTGAGACCACCCCAGCAACCTGAGGCAGCACCTTCCCTTTATTTTTTGCACGTGCATCCCCCAGAGATGCAAGACCAGGGCCCTGTTTGCCCAGCTCCGGCGTGAAGCCTGATTCAGGCTCGTGGTGCTCCCACCCTGCAGCTCGATGGTGCAGGAGGAACTGGGGTAGGACACAGCCTGGAAGCCACCACGTGTGGATGGCCTCTGGCTGTCCCCAAACGCAAAGGGGGGCTGCTGGAGGAGCCACTGCTCACAGCCCATGAGATATGAGGGTCTTTGTACTTCTACCTTCAACACCCCAGGGGCTGCCCTGGCTTCAGGGCTGGGGAGAGATGGAGGAGAGCCTTGGCCATCACCCCTGGACCCTGCCTTGTCCCAGGGGAGGTGATGCACCCCGGGCTGCCCTTGCCTGCAGTGGGGTGGGGAGCACAAGCAGAGCTGGTCTCAACCCAAGAGAACTATCCCAGTAAGTGTCCTGAGGGCAAAGAGGAGGGGAGCAGCTGTCCCAGGCAGCCAGGAGAGGGGTTGCAGGGTGCTCCTGCCTCCAGGTGAGTGATTCAGATCCAGCAAACACACAGCCTGGTGGGGAGCAGGCCCCGAGCTCTGTCCCACACCCAGGCTTCCAAGGAACGGGGTGAGACACCAGAGTCTGGACGGCTTCAAGGAGATGGGGATGGGTCGATGGAGCTGGTGGGGAGAAACAGTCCTGGCCCCCACGCTGCCCCCCTTCAATTCTGCTTCGTGTCTTTGTTCTTGTTCTGCAACTTCTGGTGGACAACGCGGAGGGTGGTGTAGAAGTTCCCCAGGAAGAGGATGAGGAAGGGGAGGCCGCACATGAGGACCTGTGGGAGCCGTGGAGGTGGAAGTCAGCAGGAGAGACCTGCCTGGGGACATCCCCCTCCCCAGGGCAGCAGCCTGGGACCCCCCCCTTACCTGCCACTCCTTGCATTCCGGGTGCTGGATCATGCGGAAGAGGGTGACGGCGTTGTAGAGCTGCCAGAACTGCAGGAGAGAGGAGATTTAAGGGAGTTTCTCCTTTCCAAGGCCTGAGCCCACACTGACGTTTATCCAGCAGCTCCCTCTGGGCACAAACCCCAGGCAGACCTTGTGTGAGGCCAGTCTGCCCCCCAACCAGGCTTGGGGCCAGAGGACCCCAGGTGGGACATCTCCCCCCCTTTCTTGCCACCTTCTGGAGCCCAACAGCTGGGAGGAAGCCTCAGACCAGCCTCCTGCTTTTGGCTCTTGGCCTAAATGATCTGAGCAAGGAAGATCTGGCCCTTCAGCAGCAGCAGCCCAAGAGCTGAAGCTCAGAAGGGTTTTGGAAGGGTTCTTGGAGCCAGCCCCTTGGCTGTATTTTGCACCTCAACTTGAGCGCTTGGCAGAACTACCCCAGGTCCTCCCTGTCTCACAAACCAAGTTGTGGAGGTGGTGGGTGCTTTGGAGGAAAAAAAAAGGCTTGGCTTGTTCAAAGCATTTCCCTGCCCCTGGCATCCCCCTGCACGGCTGCAGAGCCCGCAGGGACCCGGGTGCAGGTGGGCCTGTGGCAATATCTGCTCCCACCTGAGGCTCTGGCCTCCAGCCAGGTCCCTCCAAGGATCAGTGGATACTCACGTGCCCAAAGAAGAGGAAGGGAAGCAGGAAGGTGAGGCCTCTCCACATCCAGGACTGGAAGCCCTCTGCAAAGGAGGAAGGTTTGCATGGGGACCCGAGAACGTGCTCCCTGAGGGACCGGATGGGGCCCAGCTCCTGAAGTCATGGGCAGGGAGGTTTAGTGGCCACCCTGTGCCAGGCTGAGGGGGGTCCTGCCAGGCTAACACAGCCTTGCCCTGGGCACTTGGACTCGCAGGGAAGGCTGTGGCAGGGATTCCAAGCCCTTGGCTAACGTGGGCCTCAGAGGAGGCTGCTCTGGTAGAGCCACCCTTGCCCGTAGCTGCTGTCCCTCAGGCTGAGCACTCCCTGTCACAGGGCAGGGGGAGGTGGCAGCTCACAGGGTGCTGGAGGGACATTTCATCTCTAAAGCAGCTTCCTGGGGGAAGCTCGGAGGCCAGGAGCCACATCTGCTGCTACCTCGTGTCCTGAGGGAGCCAGCCACGGGCTGGTGGCCCCAGGAGAGCAGGCGGAGAGGGGCATCCAGCCTATGGGATGCAGCTCTTGGAATTTTGGCTTTATTTGCAGCTTTTCCATTTCTATCACTGATAAACCAGTCAAACTAACCTCAAAACAACAATAACCATCACCGTTGCCTTTAACAGACACCACAACTCCCAGTTAGCCACCAGTCTGGTGCTGGGAGGGAGGCTGCAAGCAACCACAGACCCTGCAGCAGCAGCGGCAGGTCCAGCCGGGGTGGGACAACCAGAAAGGGACAATCCCAGCTTACCCACGGTCAGATCCATGTTGTGCCTCTCGCCCAGCGCTCGCAGCCGGTACAAGCACCCACTCTGGTAGTAGTACTGGAGGAACTGGACAAAGCCTGCAAGGAGAGCGTGGCTGCCATCAGTGGGGGCCTGGGCATCAGCTCTCAGCCCCAGCATCAGCCTGGCTCCAAGGTGATGCCGCGCACAACAACCATCCCCGTGCCAGGGGGGTGGAAAAAAGGCTGAGGCAAAACCCAGGGAGAGCTGTGAGGCTGTGAGCAGCTACAGCCGGGTCTCCACGTGTTGCAGACACAGTGGGACCCGAGGCTGGTCACAGCCCCAGCACACATGGCAGCACTTACTCTGGTACATGGAGAAGGAGAGGAATTGGTTCCTGAACATCTGGTACATGAGCCCGTCCGGCCTGTGGAGAGACGATGCTGGCTGGGGGACGTGGGGCTGAGAGGGGGTGCAGCCAGCCCTGCCTGCCCCACAGCTGGGGCAATGGCCACCTCCCACCAAAATAGGGACATCCCAGCCCAGGGACCCTCCCTGCTGCACAGGGTGCTGACGGCTGCTTTCTTTTAGGGTGCTTGGGGGGAACGTGTGGAGTTCACTGTTAGATCCTGATGTCCACAGAGCAGGACCACGGCTGTGGGGCAGGGCAGAGAAGCTTCACCAAGTGGGCTGGGGGGGGGGACGCAGACTTACCATGTCAGCATGACACCTGAGAGGAAAGTGGAGACGTAGTGATGGAAGACCCACCAGCCTTTGATTCTGGAAGGCAGAGACAGGCAAGGGGCGTCAGGTCTTGAGCACGAATGGAGACCCAGACCCACAGCAGGGGGGCAGAGCCAGCCCAGCACCAGCCACCCCCCAGCTCCCAGGGCAAGGCGAGGAGCGGGGCTGGGGCTCTTCCAACCCCTGCTCCACCTTCCCTCACCACCTCCAGATGGGGAGTTCCTCCCGCCCGGCTCCTACAGCTCATTACTGGGGTTTGCTACACCCTGAGTAGGAGGGAGCTGCTCCCTCAGGAAGTGTGGAGCTATGCCATGGGTCCCAGCTCCCCAGCCTTGCAGAGAAGGACCAACTCCCCCCTCCCCGAGCCCGGGGAACTCACTTGGATCCATTGTTGATCAAGATGCTCTCCCGGATGGTGAGGGTGCAGTAGTACCACACCAGGAGGAAGTTAAAGACGGCGTCTGTCACCCTGGTGTCAAACAAAGCAGGGTGTAAAGGTGGCAGCAGAGGCACCAGCCACACGCTGGGGGCACAGGCACCGAGACAGCCATCACTGCAGGATGCCCAGCCACCCCACGGCCAGGGAGACCTGCTTCTCCAAAAGCCACCCCACCTCCAGAGCAGTGGCCAGATCCTTTGTCAGGATCTTCCTCAGCTCTGGACTTTTCAAGATGGGAAAGGAGGACACAGGGGCCCTGGGAGGAGATCTCTGCCCAGCATTCAAGCCAGACTCACCTGGAGTTGAGGAGGAACCGACAAGAGAAGGACACGATGAGTAAGATGATGGTGAGGTAGAGCTTGAATTTCTCATACTCATCTTTGTATGCGAACCTGTAGGGAAGGACAAGGACAGGCTTGGAGCAAGGTGGCTGCTGGAAGTCCCAGTAACCCCATCCCATCTGGCTGGGAACCTGTGGGACATGCTTGGGGAAAAACCTTGTCCCCTGGCTATTTCTCAGAGGAGAGCACGCCAGGCTGCTTTCAGACAGGTGACACAGCTTCAAGTCACCCCCAACCATGCCAACCAGGCGGGTGGCTCTGGGAAGCTGCTCAGGTTTAGCATCTGCTCAGCTCGTCAAGGGGAGACCTGGGGAATGGAGGGAAGAGGATGTGAGCTCCTGGCTGGGCACCTCTGGCATTAGTGTCCCAGTGTGGGGGGGGCTCTCGTAGGTGAAACCCAGCCCTTGGTGTTTAAGGGAAGAGGAGGGGGCTGGCCAGTGCCTGCATGAGTCTGTCTCTCCTGGAAGTCCCTAATACGAGGGAAACCCGGACACAGCTTTGGTGGAAGATCCCATTTAGCTTGTCAGAGCTAATGGTCTGTCCCAGCCCGGTGGCAGGAGCACAAGAGGGGGTCAAGGACTCGGCTGGTTCCTGGAAGAGAAGCAGGGGACAGCCTGGGAAGGGACTCTGTGCCAGCCACGTGTCTGCACGCGCGGCAGCTCAGCCCAGGAGGAGCTGTCACTGTTTCCTGGTGACGAGGGGACCCCAAGCCAGGCAAAGCCCGTGGCAGCAGTGAGGAGCGGGGCCGTACTTGGCCTGCTTGCTGAGCAGCGTGACGTTCACGTTCCCGAGCACCAGACTGAGGTACAACCTGTGGAGAGAGAGAGAGAGAGAGAGAGAGAGAGAGAGAGAGAGAGAGAGAGAGAGAGCAGAGGCGTTAGGAGGGGTGTCTGCCCGGGAGCTGGCAGAGGAGAGGGCAGAGCTGTCCCCTCTCGTGCCACCGCCGAGGCCGTGGGGCTGGGAATGTGTCCCCAGCTGTTTTCCACTGGGAGCTGCCAAGCGCCGTGACTGGCACAAACGCTCTGGCATCTCCTCCCAAGGGCAGGGGGACGGGCAGCCGAGCACACCCCCACCTCCCGCGGGCACCGGGGTGTTCGCTGGGGCTCCCCACCACGCACGGCCACCCTTCAAGGGCAGGAGAAGGCCACCAGCAGGGAGAAGATGGAGGGGGGATGCAGGCAGTGCTGCAGGGGCTCAGGCTGGCTCCTGCCCAGGTGTCCTCTGGGGAGCAGCACAGCTGTGACACCGCCGGGAGCAGGGTGACAGCAGGTTTGTGCCTGGCAGCGTTACAGCCGGAGGGAGGACCCAGAGATGAGGCGCCTCTTACCCGTTCTTCTTTGGCAGGTAGGCCTCCATCTCGAAGAAGACATTCTGCCTCTCTTTTATCAGGTTCTGGGTCTCTTGGATGGAGTCCTTCTGTTCGGGATTCACCTGGGTTTTGCATCTGGGGGAGGAAACACAGGTGGTGGCACCAGGACAGCCCCCGTAACACAAACGGCACATGCTGGCACTGGGTACAAGTGCCTTGTCTCAGACAAGGACACCCCAAGGACAAGGAAGATGGACTGAAGGCAAGGCCACAACTCCATCTGCAGGGTGAGCTCCTCTGTGGTCAGGCTGGGATGTTGCCCAAGAAGAGGAAGCAAGAATGGGAGCCAGGAGAGGCCAGATGGGTCTGCTCCTCAAGGAAGCATGAAGAGCTTTGTGTGGGACAGGGGGGCAGTTCAACAGCCTGGTCCTTGCTGCTCTCCCCTCCTGTCCCACCCCATCACAGGACACCCTACTCACTTTTTGAGGGACAATGACAGCTCCTTCAGCCGCTTCTTCTGCCGTGCGATAGAGCTGGAGATCCCGTCCTGGAGTTTGGTTAGCTCCTCAAGCTTCTGCTTGTACAGCTTGTGATTATCCTGGGAAGGAGAGACCAGCATGTGTTACAGCCCAGCCACCCCTGTCCTTATTGGGGACATCTGTTGACGCCTTGGTTAAAAATTGTCTCTGCCTTCCCCTGCACAGCAAGCTGGGCAAGACAAGAGGTGGCTGCAGAAGGTCAGGCGTGCCCGGGGACAGCCTGCAGCCATCCCTGCTTCTCCCTGGGGGCAAAAGCAGCCACCAGGGACATCCATCCCCAGCCCCAAGGAAGTCACCTACAGGGGCAGGCACATCCCCAGGGCACAGCCTGCTCACACACCGACTCGGGGCTTTGGGGCTCCATCCCGAGCAATCCCGGTCTCTTCTTCCAAGTTACAGATGATAGGACAAGGGGTAATGGCTTCAAGTTGCGCCAGGGGAAGTTCAGGTTGGATATTAGGAAACATTTCTTTACTGAAAGGGTTATCCAGCATTGGAATGGGCTGCCCAGGGAGGCGGTGGAGTCACCATCCCTGGAGGGATTTAAGAAACGTGTAGACATGGTTCTTCAGGGCATGCTCTAGTGCCCAAGATTACTGGTTTGTGGTGGGGTGCTGTGTGGGTGGGTGATGGTTTTTGGTTTGGTGGTTGTTGTTGTGTGTTTAGGTGGTGGCTTTTGTTTTTTTTTTTTGTTTTTTTTTTTTTGTGTGTTGGTTGGACTCGATCTCTGAGGTCCCTTCCAACCACTACGATTCTGTGATTCTGTGAAGCCCTTGAGACGCTGGAAGGAGCCCATCAATGAACTGGCCAAAGGGGATGGAGTCCCAGCAGGGCTGTGGCCAACCGCCCGGCTCCTCGCGCGGCCGTAACCCAACCGCACCTGGGAAAGGCTGGATGCCATTCTTCTGCTATATTTAGAAAGGAAAGGAGAGAGCACGCTGGATCAATGCTCCTCCTTGTCCAGGTCAGCTGGAAAACAGCCTCACCTTGACCCACAAGGCAGCCCGGACGCCACCTCCACCAGGGAACTAAACCCTGCTCGCGACAACCCTTGGACTAGACCTTGAGGCACACACATTTTAGCCTCCAGAGCTCTTATCGAGCACTTTATCAGCAGATGGCAAAGCTGTTCCCAAAGGAGAAAGGTGAAACCAAGACACGGAGGAGGGAAAACAACTTGTTCTCCCTGTGGTGACAAGGGTGGGAACGATCCCAGAGAGCCCCCGCTCCCCTCACACTCATTTATGGCCCCCTTCTCCCCCAGGACACTCCCTGCTCGACCCATCAGGCTTTCCTGACCCCATCTGGAGTCACCTCCTCCTCCTGCTCTGGAGTTAACTGAGAGCAAGAGGCTTTTGTGACAGGTCCTTTAGTGGTGCCAGCCTGGGTCCCGCTGCTCGGACACGGCCCGGATGAGGAGCCACTTCCAGAAGAAGGTTTCTGAAGGAAAGGGCTGGCACCGCGTGGCTGCAGGCGGGGTTCCAAACACACAACCCAGGCCATCCACCCAACCCCTGTGGAGCAAGAGGAGGTTTCTCAAAGCCTCCCTTGCCCCAGATCTGGGGCACAGCTGTGGTGTGTCCACAACAACATCCGCTTCGCCCCGCTCCCGGGGGGGGGAAGGAGGGGGAAAGGGAACTGGTGCAGATGCAGCTGATTGATCTTGAATCTCGGCAGAAGATGGTGAGCCAACCTTTTCCTTGGCTGACCCCGGGGCTGAGCTGAATCCTGCCCACTCCTTGCCCCGGGGATTACAGAAAGCAGGTGGGAACATCTCCGATACCAGTCACCTTTCCTGGCACAGAGGACCCGACAAGCTCTGGTGGCACCAGAGGGAGGGTGTCCAGGGTTGAGAAGCATCGGGACGAGGTGCCCGGTTGTAGCGTGGCCCGATTCCTGGCTGCCTCCTCCCCCTGGGCCACCTTTGGGTGGCTTTGGGCTTGCTGGAGCTGGGCTGAGAGGAGCGATAAGGAGTGTGAAACGGCCCCCACATGCCTCATTCCTGGCCGTGCCCTGCCAGGCTCCTCACCCTGAAAGCCCTGGAGATCTCACCTCTCCACCCCACGTCCACCTCGGGCTGGACAACGAACACTGACCAGCCCTGCAAAGCCCCTGCTCTCGCCAACACCCCCGCGTCCAGGCGAGCTTTTAATTAAGCAGCTCCTCGGTGGTGACCCCGGCACGTCCCGGCACCCCTCGCCCCGCTCCGAAACCCTTTGCCCAGAAGCACAAGGGCTTCGGGAGGAGCCGCGAACCGAGGGCTTTGGGGGGGCAGGGACACACCGGGCTCCGAACCGGGGAGAGCCCGGCTGCCCCCGGTACCCGTTCGAGATGCTGAACGGTAACCTCGGGGTGCCCGGGCTCCGCGCCCCATCAAGCGTTAACGATCCCGGGGGTGGAGGCGAGCCCTGATGCAGCCGCCGACCCGTCCCTGTGCCCCGACCGGCGGCTCAGCTCCCCCGGGCCGGGGGCTCCCCCGGGGTTAGCGAAGGGGGGAAAGAAGAGGAGGAGGAGGAAGAGGAGGAGGAAGGGCGGCCGGTAGCCCGCGGTGCGGTACCTGGATGCGCTGGTAGCCGTCCTGCAGCTCCTCCCACTCCCGCAGGCACTCGGCGACCGAGGCCATGGCGGCGATGGCGGCGGGAGAGCGGCCCCGGCCCCGCGGCGATGGGCGGCCACCGCCTCCCGCCCCGCTTCCGGGCACGCCCCTCGGGGGGCGTGGCCAAGGGAAAGATGGGCGGGGCCAAAGGGGGGCGTGGCCTGATTTATTCTGTTTTTCCCCTGTCACCAGCAGGTTGGGGGAAGGAGGGAGAGGAGGGTGTCACAGCCCTGTCGCTGTGTGAAGGGCCGGGCCGCTGTCTGCTGGGGGGGGTTTGGTGTAAATTCATCGGTGAAAGGGTAAAGGGTGCGTTCCCTGACGGCACGGGTTTGAATGACAAACCTGGGGGAGGGAGGGAGGGAAGGGGGAGAGGGGGGATGATCTCAAAATGAAAATATCTCAAATAACAATATCTCCAACTGCATCCAGTTCTGGGCTCCCCAGTTCCAGAGGGACAGGGAACTACTGGAAAGAGTCCAGTGAAAGGCAACAAAGATGGTTCAAGGAGTGGAGCATCTCCCTGATGAAGAAAGACTGAGAGAGCTGGGACTCTTTAGCCTGGAGAAGAGAAGGCTGAGGGGAGACCTTATCAATGCTGACAAGTATCTAAAGGGGGGGTTGAAGGAGGAGGGAGCCAGACTCTTTTCAGTGGTTCCCAGTGAGAGGACGAGGGGCAACGGGCACAAGTTGGAACATAAGAGGTTCCACTCAAATATGAGGAAAAACTTCTTCATGGTGAGGGTGACAGAGCCCTGGAACAGGCTGCCCAGGGAGGGTGTGGAGTCCCCTTCCTTGGAGATTTTCAAGACCCGCCTGGATGCTCCTGAGTAACATGCTCTGACAAGCTCTGGGTGGTCCTGTTTCAGCAGGGGAGTGGGACTAGATGGTCTCTATGGTCCCTTCCAACTCTAAAAATTCAGTGAAATTCAATGAAAATCCCCGCTCAATCCTTAGCACCGAGTGTGCAAGGAAAGGGCCAGGAGCGTTTTCTGTAACGTTTTTTATTTTGCGATGTCGACGCAAATAATTCGAGAGAGGACAGTACCACGTTCACAAAGTTAATTCCTGAAATGTAACTTCTCTGTTTCACGAAGTTTTCCTCATTCCTGATGCCATTTCACGAAGCAGGATCGATGCTTTGAAATTAGCCCAGGGTTCAGTCATTCTATTAGAAGGTGGAAGTGGGAAGCATGGTCCTGCTTGACAACCCAACCAGCGAGTCTGCCTGAGGCCACGTCTGAGGCTGAAAGAGCTCAGAGGGTCGTTATTTGGGGCACAGGATCTAGTTGGAGGTCTGTAACAAGTGGAGTCCCCCCAGGGGTCAGTACTGGGTCCAGTCCTCTTCAATATATTCATCAACGACCTGGATGAGGGGATGGAGTGTACCCTCAGCAGGTCTGCTGATGATACAAAACTGGGAGGGGTGTTGACACGATGGAGGGCTGTGCTGCCATCCAGAGAGACCTGGAGAGCTGGGCAGAGAGGAACCCGATGAACTTCAATAAAGGCAAGTGTAGGGTGCTGCACCTGGGGAGGAATAACCCCCTGCACCAGGACAGGTTGGGAGTGACCTGCTGGAGAGCAGCTCTGAGGAGAAAGACCTGGGAGTCCTGGTGGATATTAGGATGACCATGAGCCAGCAATGGGCCCTTGTGGCCAAGAAGGCCAATGGCATCCTAGGGGACACCAAGAAGAGTGTGACCAGCAGGTTGAGGGAGGTTATCCTGACCCTCTGCTCTGCCCTGGGGAGGCCCCATCTGGAGTTCTGTGTCCAGTTCTGGGCTCCCCAGTTCCAGAAGGACAGGGAACTGCTGGAGAGGGGACAGCAGAGGCTACAGAGATGATGAGGGGCCTGGAGCATCTCCCTTACGAGGAGAGGCTGAGGGACTTGGGTCTTTTTAGTCTGGAGAAGAGAAGGCTGAGGGGGAATCTGATCAGTGCTTATAAGTACTTAAAGGGAGGGGCCAGTCTTTTGTCAGTGGTGCCCAGGGACAGGACAAGAGGAAATAGGCACAAACTTGAATATAAGAAGTTCCACCTAAACTTGAGGAAGAACTTCTTCACTTTGAGGGTGGCAGAGCCCTGGAAGAGGCTGCCTGGGGAGGTGGTGGAGTCTCCTTCTTTGGAGACATTCAAAACCTGCCTGGACACGTTCCTGTGGGACCTGCTCTGGGTGGACCTGCTCTGGCAGGGGGTTGGACTAGATGATCTCCAGGGGCCCCTTCCAACCCCATGTGAATGTGATTCTGTGTGGGTGGCTGAGAAGGCACACACAGAGCAGAGGGACTTGTGAAAGAGGGAAATCCTCTCTGAGCTGGAGATGGGCGCTGTCAAACTCTAAATTTACCATCCCAGGCTACGGATCGACAAACCTTTTCAGAGATAACCCTAATGACTTCCCCATACCTGGGGTAGGGAGCATTCCCGACAATGTGGTTATAATCCCTTTTGCTTACAAAAGAGACGAGCAGAGCTTAATGGGCCACATCCTGCAGGATTTGCTTTCCCCAAACCGCCACCTTCTACAGCACAGGTGAGTGCCCCTAAAGGCTCCAAAACTTGACCCAAAATAACACAGAGCTAAAGAGGAGAGCCTTTCCATTAAATTAAGACCTTTTTTCAAAGTGTTCCAGTCACTTTCTGCTGACAGGGTGGCAGGGACAGGGAAGCACCTTTCCCCTCTGGGTGTTGTCTTTGCTACCTGTCAGTAGTTTGGCTCAGAGACGTCTGTGATCGTGCTCTTGTAGATTTTGGTCTCCCAGTCCGAGAGCTGCTTCACAAAGCCCCTGTGGGGTCTCATGTTCGTTTTGCATTTCAGAACGTAGTCCCAAGCTCTCTGTAAAGAGAGGGGAAACAAAGAAGTGGTGGGAATTTGTACTGAAAGTGACTCTCGGGTACGTACATGAAGCAGCTACACTTGTAGATGACCCAGCTTTGTATTTACTCCATGTTGGCCAGCAAGAACCTGCAGAGAAGTCTTTGGCTACCAAAGCAGGGGCAGACTGGATCCAACTGGCAGACTGGATCCAACTGACAGACTGTCACCTCTATACTCTGCTCTCCTGGATACGGGGACAGTTCAGGCTGGTTTCACTACCTGGCAGGTACCTTGTGTTATTTTACACCCCTGGAGCAACACAGCCCTGGATTTTTACCCTAAGATGCTGTTTTTCCATGGATGATAAGCAAAGCAGTGAAGTACCAGCTGTTCACAGGTAAGCAACAAAGGTTATCACGTATCTGGATTGGTGTGACCTGATGTGGCAGAGCAGCTATGAAGCTCTAGTTATCTCACTGCATTAATTACAGCCATCTTAATTATTTGTTAGTTCCATGTAGCCAGCTAGAAACTCTGCTACACACAGGGCAGATCCACCAGCATTACTCCCTTTTACTCCATCAGCATCCTTGGGTTGACCCAGCAGTGCTCATCGTCCTGCTTTAAAAAGAGACTTCCCCCTCCACTTGGAGCATTGCTTAAGCGTCATGAGACCAAAGGTTAGAAGATAGTGCTCCATTGGTTTGTTTTTCTAATCTCAGTGATTCTGCAGGCTCCAGGGCTGATCTTTCAATATTTACTCTTCTGGGCCCACAGTGTGGGTGTCTCTAGTTCCCCTGAACTCAATAGATCTACTCACATATTGATTACTTATAGAATCAGGGGCCACACATCCTGACTCTGCCTTTTTTTTGTTGTTGTTGTTCCCATTATCCACGTCTTTCAAAACTTTCAAAGATCTTTGCCTGGATTGGGTGAAGGATCACACGGGAATCCATTGCACTGCTTTTGGCTGCAAGAAACAAATTTGGCTGCCAGGGTAATCCCCCCAGGAAAGCTTTGCCCGGCCAACAGTGGGCAAGCACCACCCAGGCCAGCCGCAGCACGCCGCTGCCCCATCAACCTTTTCTTCTTCTTTTTATTCTGGCACGTGGCAAAATGCTGAGCCAACCTGTTGACACCAAACTGAGGGAAATTTGCAAGGGTCAGCCTTTGACTTTTGCACGGCCGTTGGAAGCACCTCCAGTAATTTAGCGTGCAAGGGAACAATTATCAGTGTGCAGGAGCAATCACACCCAGCGTTGGTAGCAGGGATGAAATAGTGGCTGCAGCCCCGTTGGCACACGCAGCCTCAAATTACCCTTTGGCACACAGCGCTGGGAAGAGATTTCCTCTTCTGTTGCAAATGTTTGCCCAAAATCAATTAAATGATTAGATACAGGCCCAGCTTCAGCGAAGCTTGGATTGATCCTTTCAGGCTCCCAACAAGGAAACACTTTCCAAACGAGGCCAGGATTTTTAAGGAGACACCTTGCAGTTCCCATGGGAACTAGACCACTCTGTGCTAAGGAGGCACCACCAGGAGATGGTGGTTACAGCAGCACCATGCCCAGGCCCTGTATGCAGAGGGAAAAAGGGCCTGGCACCTGGGGAGAGGCCACCAGGCTGTTGCACAGCTGGGGGTCGTTCTCAGCCATCGGTCATTATTTTTCTTTATTCAGAGCTATGGGACAAAAGGTACTGGCCATTTAGCCTGTACATCCCTCCTGGGCTAGTATTATCCCATTCCAGACTCCTCTACAGTACCACCTGTGGCAAGGGATTGCTTCTGGAGAAATAAAATAGGATTTTGGAAGGAGTCAGTGCTGCTGAGCCCAGCGGTAAATCCGAGCCCTGCAGGCACTGGGTTCTGAATTTCCATATAACCCCATGGTATTAAGAGATGGGATTAACTCCAGTAGCTTCCAGATACTCTCTTTCTCAGACCCAGGGGAGCAGAAATGCTAAGATCTGTAACCACAGCTTTATTTTTATAGCCCTGTAGTTAAGGAGGGAAATACAAAAATATTGCAGGTGCCGGGGTAAGGACTCACAGATCCAACTCACATATAAGCCACCTCCTTAACAGCATAAAGAAGCTGCAAGCTGATATGATAGAATCTGTTACTTCATCAGGTGGTTAGTCTGCATGAAAGCACAGATAATGTCTTTCTCATTATTACAGCAATGAGGCTTCAGAAACAGAAATAAATTGCAGCCAGTATCGGTAGAAAATATGTCAGTGATGTACCTTCAGGGAAAACTGGCAGGAATGCATCAGATAGGCGATGGTCACTGTGCTGCTGCGGCTTATCCCCAGGCTGGAGAACACCAGCACCGCTCCGTGAGCCAGCTGAGCGTCTGAGTAAAGAAATGCCAATCACAAATTAGGGATTTGGGAAATCAAGCTTCCAGTCGTACAGCCAAGCGCTGTTTGGGTGACAGGCTGGCAGCCTGAGTGACAGGAGCCCTCATGAACCCTGACAGCAGCAGATGGGCACTGCCAGCTCCCCTTTCTGTAAGTGTTTGCCTTTCTTAAAAATGCACTGAGTTAAAACGTGGCTTTGAAGAGCAGAACCAAGTGGCAACGACCAGTCAATGCTTCACTACGGATCAGTGTCACCTTTACATCAGGTAACTGAAGGAAAGTGGCCTACCATGACCAGTCAGCTGTGCTCAGCATCACATCAGCTCCTCCAGCTCCTCCCAGAAAGGTTTAAAGGTGTTGAGGTTTCTGATGAAGCCAGCCGAGCTGTTTGCTGCTGAGGCAGGAGAAATCAGCTGTCAAGCTGGGAGGGACTTAGACTTCAAGTCCTTTACTGCTCTGTGGGGATCACCAGCAGGAAGCACGTACATGCCAGCTACAGTGCTGATTTTATGATCTTTTTATGATGGATACTTTGCAGTGAAAATTGCTAAGATCAGCAAACTCATTGTCTACAAAAGCCGAGCCCGCTTGGCTTTCAGAGGACGCTGTCACTCACTCCTGACCACATCAACTCTGCTATCTCTGCCTGAAAGGTTGCATATTTTATTAATAACCTTTTGAATTCTTTTCCTCTCTCTCCAGAGCAGACATGTTTTTGGAATATCAGCAGCTGAACTCTAGAATCCATAGGGCAAAGCTGTCAAGAGATTGTGGGGTTTTGTGGTTTTTTTTTCCTTGAAGCTCTAAACCAGAGTTTTCTGACTTATTTCTATCATGAGATACTAGTTCTGTTCTAAGACCTGAGTAGAAATGGCTTCACTCCAACATACACCTGGCATGAGGACACACACACTCCTCTGAGAGTATGTAGAGAGCTTTAGTCTTGTGTTCACCCATAACCGTTCCAGTTTAAGTAATCTACTCTAGACTGTCAAGTAAACAGTTAGACTATCAAGTAAACAGTATATACTTCCACAAGAGCTACAGCTAATAAGCTCTTGTAGTCTGTTTTGGAAACTTCCACTAACTGATGTGGGAAAGACACTTTCTTCTGAAATACTAATTGGGAAAAAAACAAAAACAAACTGGGGCAAAATGAAAGGCAAGTAAGTGGATTTCAATATTTGGGTTTCAATGCATGCAAATTTGGCTCAGGAGTAGAAAATTATATCCTCAAATTTTGTTTCCTTGTTTCTTTGTTCATGTTCAGTTGTCATTTCTTATTTCTTACTTGGATGATAGGGTCCACGGGGACAGGGTTGGTTTTTTTTGCTTCTGGGCCCGTACAACACTCAACCCAGCAGGGCCTTGGTCTGTGGCAGGTGTTATTTTGTAAATGTGATAAAAGCTAACGACACGGTTGGGCACCATCACAGGATGGAGCTGCAGGAGCTCTGCCTGCTGTGCTGCTGCAGGCACTGAGCTGGAGAGTATGTTTTTTCTTGCCCTCTCTGATGTAATCAGCTGAAGGCAGGTTCCTGCCGTCCAACCTGAAAGTCTTCCCAGCCCCTACGGTGGGTCTGCACTGCAAATCACCAGGGTTAGCAGCATCTTGTGGTAAGTTCTCCAGTGTCTGTCACATTCTTGTTCAAATAAAGCTCCGGTGTTTGAAGATTTGGGCTGGTAAGAGTCAAAGGGCTTTTCATTTAAGAACATTTATTTATAAGTAAATAAAATAAATACATAATTTAAGAAAATTGAAGAGCGAAGGAATAGGAGGGAATCTTATGAAGCCCTGAAAGACATCCTACAGCAAAGCCTTCTCAGATCTAGTGCAAAACTCACTATTATCAGAGGGCAAGGTATTCTTTAAAGTGAGTAGGACCATCAGAGTTAGATGCCATGAAAAATCTCCTCTCTGTTCATCAGGCTGTCATAAGGCAGCTCTGGTATCCATTAGGGTGTGAGCTTGCTTGGGAGTACCCTGATCTTTAAAAGATTACGACCCTTCTGTCTGAGCTTCCTGTTGGAGTGAATTGCAGTCACTCCCATCTAATATCCTAGAGTGAGCAAGGTCTCAGGAATTCCAGATTAGGAACAACTCACCTATGAAATGACAAATGTTGCTGAAGGTAGAAAAAAGATCTGCTTCAAGTGAATCTGGAACAGGTACATGGAGGTATTTGCCACCTTCTGGAAACCTGGAAAAAGAGCACACAGCGTGACATGGACCAGAGAAGCAGCTTTGAAAAAATGTGTTTGTTGGAGGCGAGCTGATAATTTTGTTTGCTGTTACATGTGTCAGTTTTTCATCATCCTCATCATTAACATTATGATAAGGGATTTGTTATGGTAGGACACTGAGGTGCTTGTAATACAGAACCAGTTTAATTACTGATTTTCCATTCCACACGGTATCAGCATTGATGTCTTAACTTAACCTACAGCTTCTTTGATCTGAGAGCTAAATGAAAACAGATGAACTGAAAGCAAGAGTGCTTCACAGCGTGCATGTTGGCAGTTTAGTGAACATAACCCCTCAACTGACTTCGTGTGGTTTTCTATGACAGCATCCTCCTCCTTTCACAAGCTCAGAGAACTCAACTCCGAGAATGAATGGAGAAAAACGTCAGTGAGGAATTTCTGAAATGTGAAAGCAGGTCATGCAGAGGGCATGGGAAGATCATCCACAGTGTAGAGACCTCTGGATATTTTCCTGTGGAGCCAAAAGTGTGAGATGTGTCTGCTGGGGTAGGTAACTGGATTTGCAATTGACTTTGTTTTGGCCACCAGCTTGAGAAATGGCACTGGATTTTTCACTGTGTGACATGGCATTTCCAGCATGGCCTACAGACTGAGCACAATGCTCGTGGGCAGATGTGGGTAAGGAACAATATGCAACATCAGTGATTTAGTTTTTACACCGATGTGTTTGTAAGATTTTGCTCTGAAAGTCATTCAGAGACGTAGGTTCTTCCCAAAGGATGATGGTATGTGATAAAATCCTAGTCCTCCTCTCACCCAATCCACCCATGTCATGGTAGAGGGCTGCAGGACTGCGTTGCTCCTGTGCTAACTGGAGCAGAGATCAGAAAAATTAGCATGAAATAGCACTCGAATCTGCAGAGTTTTCCTCCAACCAGGGGTTCCTTTGGAAATCCACAGGCACTGACTCCTCTGTGAGTGGACTCTGGTGCTGTGCCACCTCACTTTTTTCACAGGCACAGACACTCGTGAGGGTACATCTTGAACCATTTAACTTACAGTGTGGCATGCTGTTCAGAGATGTTGACTTGTGTTTTGATCTTCAGATCTTTCTGAATCTGTTGGTCACAGGCCTGCTTGAAATCCCCCATATACAACTTTGCAGGCAGTATTTCTACAGGGTATGGCTGGAAGTTTTCTAGTTCCTGCCAGAGAGAAACCATAGATTTGGTTTAGAGAGTGTATTTGCTCCTATTATCTTGGTAAGTTCTTAAACAGAAGTCGTGTGAAGAATTGAACACACACTTAGCGAACAGCTCATGACACATTCTAGTGTGATGATTCATTTAATCACCTGGACTTTCTGTATATTGAAGTCTTTGCTAGATTTAGTGATAATAATTAACAGCAGTGCTGTCATTGTGGCATTACTTGACCCAAATCCTAACGAAGCAGGAGGAGGCGTATATTCTTTACATTGTCTAGAGGGAGTGGGGCACAACAGATGCATTTGATGTTCTCCCTGGTTACTGTTTGCAAGGCTAAATGAAATCATCTGCCACCTGCAGAGCTGCAGGTGGCCTGTAGTGGCACAATGGAGGTCTGCAGCTGCTTCCCCTGTCTGCAGTGTGAAGGCTGAGAATAAAAATAGAGGAGTAGTCGACAGCGCCTCTCCATCCCTACCTGATACTTGGCTAATGCTACAGCAGAACAAAGCAGCAGCCTAAAAATATAAAGCAACAGAGAACGACAGCTTAAACTGAGAGGCAAGGAGGTACCCTGTGTCCAACTGAATCTGGTGGGGAAGTTCAGCAGTTTGCTACCCATCACGAAGCAGGACGAAGGGAATTGATTTTCTCTCCTGCGCTGTAGCGTCCCACAGGTTAGCGTCGTGTCTTAGAATCAATCACAGAATGGTTTGGGTTGGAAGGGACCTCAAAGATCATTGAGTTCCAACCCCCCTGCCCTGGGCAGGGACACCTCCCACCAGAGCAGGTTGCTCCAAGCCCCATCCAGCCTGGCCTTGAACCCCTCCAGGGATGGGGCAGCCACAGCTTCTCTGGGCAACCTGTTCCAGTGTCTCACCACCCTCACAGCAATAACCCTCGTGGGCTATTCCATGTGAACCAGAAGTGAAGAGGCACAAGAGAAGCAAAAGATACGTTGTGATGAGATGCTCTCTGCTGTTCAGTACCCTCTAAATTTGCCCTGCCTCAGGTCCTGTCGTAGATGTGAAACAAGGGTAATTGTTTCTCATAAGCTAAACAGATCATTGTTTATAGGTGAAACCAAATGATCAGGATACCAGTGTTCCCATGGATGCCTGTTTTCTTCCTGAGCCCGTTGAAACAACGCAGCAGCACTCACTTTGTGATCTTTCCCAATGAAAAGCTTTATAGACATGGAACATGGTGCTTGATAGGAATTGTACTTCTGTCTGAAAACATTTACTGTGCAACATCCCAGATAACCACGTGTCAGAGAGGAACCTGCTTTTTTTCATCATTTGCTACTATTTGTTTAGTTATCTGTACTCTCCAGTAGGCCAGTTTTGGGGTTATCAGAGAAACCTTCCCAGGTTGTTTTCATGAGCTTCCTTTCACGCAATAGAGGAAGGATAAAAAGGCAAAGTGTGGCTGTAAAAGAATTAGTAGTGAGACTCGGGGAAAGCACAGTAACTCAAATCACATTTTAATTCCTTTGTTTGAAAATACTCTGATAGCAGGTTTACAGCACCAGTTAACTTGAATTCATTAGCCATCATCAGCTGAATATGAATGCTAATGTCTTCTACTTGCAAATTACTCTCATCTCACCTGAGGCATCCACAGTATCTTCTGAGTCCTCAGAAAATGATAGCAAGCTGAAAAATGCTTGTATCCTCCCTTCAGGACCAGCACGGGATGGCGGGTGAACTGCTCTAAGCTCCTGGCGTATTGGATGGCAGTTCCTTCCTCAGCATCTAATGAGATCAGAAAGGTATTTGCCAGGGCAGGTTTAGAGTGTCCCCAACAGCACTTGGGGGTTACATCTGGACAACTGACCCCGACAGCAAACTCCTTTTCATTTCATCTAACAGTCTGTAGAAAGCATTGTTAAAAGCTAGACTTATTCTTTAACTGTTGCTGCAGGTCAGTAACAAAGCACCCTGCTTTTCACCTCGTCCTGATCTTTTATTCCTCTCCTGGTTTCTTTTGTAGGTCAAGATAAAGTTGTTGGTTTTTTTCCTCCCCATTATTCTTTGGGAATAGGGAAGTATTATTAATGTTAATCTAATAATCTTAGTTTTATGGATGCCCTTTTTTTTTTTTTTTTTAGTCTGCTTTAGGCAAAGGGGGAAAGAAAAAGGTATCTTGAATAAATTCTTCACAAAGGTTTTAAACACTCCCCTCAGTGAAGCAAATGACATGAAATGGCTGCTCCCCCTCCTTCTCCCAAGGGATCCATCCCGCTTGCCTCCAGTTATGCCTGCTTTAGAAATAGATCAGCACAACAGAAATCCACTTCTGATCCTTCACACTTCCCCTTGCTGCACCCTCATCACTGAGCATTTATGAACATGCTTGTTTTAGTCACTCCCCTTACACTCCCAGATATTTTTTCTTAAAAAAATAACATAAATCATTGCTAAAACTATAGTAGCCACTATAAACCTAATAGGAGCCCAACAAACATCCAGAAGTGGTTCTGCATACGGCACAACTCCTTGCCAAAGGATGCGTGAAAGCTAAACATTTCCATGGTTCAAGGAAAACTGAACAATTACATGGAAAAGTTTCCAGCTCTTGACATTTCTCACTGAACTCCATCAAATCATCACCCCCATTAAAGTCTTTTTAAATATGATAATGTGAAAGCCTTTTGTAACTCTTAAGGAAGGAAGTACTCACTCTCTGAACATGTGGAACCTGAGTCAGTGTTTTCAATCTCTGAAGAAGCACTGCTCCCTAAAAGGCAATCGTTGAACAGGCCCAATCTCAGTGAAATGTGAAAAATAAAAGAACCCACTCCCCACATGCGACAAGGAGCTTCAGAGGGATCAGTCCACAGATAGAAAACCTGGTCTGCTTTGAAATAAAATCTGGATTTTTGAAGCCTAACAACATATGCAACACAGTGAAAAAAACAGAGGCACAGCACAGATGTTGTTTTTTCAAATAAAACCGGGTAAATTTGCATCTCTTCCAATAAGGACATAAAATTAAATGAGGAAAGGGAAGAAGGTGGTGAGGTCTTGACTGACATGGGTCCTGGGTACCTTTTCCTGTCTCCTCTTCCTTATAGTCACAGCAATCCAGAGAGCTGGTCTCGCAGTCATACACCACGCAGTACCTGACACACCCCAACTCCTCTGAATCCGGTACCAGATACTCCCCCGTAGGACTCTACCAAAAATCACAGAGGAATTCTATCAGGAGCACAGCTCCACACTTTTAGTGTGGCATCAATGGTACCAACATCTTGCAAGTTATTAATCTACAGCTACCGGGTGGGTCGGGGGCTACGTCTGTACTTGACGCTGACAGACCCGGTTAGAATTCAGAAATGACGCAAACAACACCAGATTGCTTCATCAGCCAGAGCAGGAAAGATGCCAGCACTATCCTTTGTGAGACAAGGCTACAACATGTTCATTCTTGTGCAATATTTTTCCTGATACACAGCCCCTATGTGGCAATCCTCTGGGCTACTCTCTTTGTGACAGAGTACATCCCCCCAGTGGCAGAAATGGAACACGGTTTGAACAGGCAGGGGAGGCTGGGACAATTCCCGTGGGTTTTAAACCAATTTGGGCTTACTGCTAATTGCTAAATCCAGGGATGGCTTCCACACATGGTAATCCCCTCACCTGTTCAATCCTGCGTGCTGTAATAATATGGCTCTCATCGTATTCACGCTGAGTACGGACATCTGGAAAAAACCAACCAAGACAGAGCAATTGGCTTATTTGATGCTTTAAAGGTAGAATCCTATTTGCAATTTGGTCAGTGGGAATTCAGGCACTGACACCAATCAGAGAAAGAGATTCATTTTTTAAAAAATTGAAACTTTCTGATGTGGATATAATGAACTCCCATACTGATGTGGGTCTACGTGTAACATGAAGTGATGCCAGCAGCTTTATTCCTGACCCAAGTGTGATACAGCAGCACCCACAGCACCCATCTTGAGCTCAGTTCTGCTCTGCCCTGTGGCACAGCCTGGCCCCGCTTGCTGGGATGCTCTGAGCTCCTGGTGTCCAGCATCTCCACCTCTGTGCTGCCCTGGAGATGGGGAAAGGGGCACCGGAGAGACCCCAACCCCACTCCCAAACTGGCTGATCACCTGTCATGGTTTAACCCCAGCTGGCAGCCAGGAGCATGCAGCTGCTCACTGAGTTCTCCCCCCTCCCTCCTGAAGGGCAAGGAGAAGAGGGAGAAATGGAGGGAATCCCCCCAGAAGGGCAGGGAGAAGAGGAAGAAAAGGAGGGGAAAGGGAAAGAAAAAAACTCATGGGTTAAGATAAAGATAGTTTAATAGAATAACAGAAAAGGAAGATAACAGTAATAATAATGACACAAGTCACTCTCAGCACCCGGTGAATTGGCACCTTCCCAAGCAGTGATCATGGATTTCACCACCCGGCCAAATCCCTTTTATACACTGAGCATGACACCTATGGTATGGAATATTCCATTGGCCATTCTGTTGTTCTGTCTATGCTCCTTCTCAGCTTCTATGGGAAGCTGAAGAGAGTCCTGGGAAAGTATAAACATCGCCTAGCAACAACTAAAACAACATGCATTATTGGCATTCCTTTACAGCAATCACTGGAAAGAAAACGGACTCTTTCCAAGCTGAAACCAGGACACTCCCTGGTTATTTAACAATAATTTAACAACATTTAACAATACCGCAGCACCAAGTACCCTTTTTTTGGTAGTGGCACTATGCAAGATGCTAATGCTCATCAGCAATGGTCAAGACACTGTGTTCACCTCTAAAACCTCTCGGAGCAGGTCAGAGAAGGAAGCTGGATGCCAAAAGCAAGTGAAAAGATGGCAGTAGGCAGAAAACTTCCTCATTCACACTCTGCTGTTGGGCTAAGTGCCAGGAGAGGCTCACGGCCATTCATATTTAGTGCTGCTGCTTTTTGCTGAGCGTACGGAATGAAAGCCTGTAACTGGGATGGGAGAAACTCCTCAAGAACAAGGCTCCAGCAATTACAAGAAGTGAGGTGTGCTCTTCCCTGCAGGTCAGGGCCCCCAGACCCCATCTCCCCCAGGCTGCAGGCCCAGGCCGGGGGCAGGCCTCAGGCCGTGCCCGCGGGCTCACCCAGCAGGCACAGGTAGTGGGGCTCCGCCAGCCGAGGATACCGCCGCTGCTGGTTGAGGATGTTGTAGAGGTGCCGGGGCTCGCAGAGCTCCAAGCCCGCCATCCCGCCACCACCGGCGAGCGTCGCCACCCGCCGCCACAGCCCGCCCGCCCGGTTGCTAGGGAGGGACGCCCGGCGGTCGTGAGGGGGGTGACGCCAGAGCGAAATCTCGCGAGATTCCCCCCCCCTCCACCGGCGGGGGAGGAGCGGAATAGGGGGGAAGTCTCGCGAGAGTTGGTGGCTGTTCCCGCGCAGGCGCCGCGCACTGGAGGTCGTTGGAGTCACCGCCGCCGCCGCTGCCCCGCCATGCTGTCCCGTCTGGCCCGTCCCGCCGCCGCCTTCAGCCGCGGCCTCGCCACCACCGCCCAGGTACGCCCCGCCGGCGGCAGGCCCGGCTCCCGAACACCCTGCGGGCCGGGGACGAGTCCAGGGCCTCCCCTGGTGAGGGGGGTGGCGACCGGGCCCCGCCGGCGGCCTTAAGCGGGGTCTGAGGGCGGTGAGGGAGCTGAGGAGCGGGGCTCGTGAGGGGATGGCGGTGCCGGGGGGAGGCTGTGTCTGTGCCCGGCGGGACATCCTTCCGCTGTCTGAAGGGAGCTACAAGAGAGCTGGGGAGGGACTCTTTGTGAGGAAGTGGAGTGACAGGAAAAGAGGTAGTGGTTTTAAACCGAAAGAGGGGAGACTTAGGTTACATACCAGGAAGAAATTCTTTGCTGTGAGGGTGGTGAGACACTGGAACAGGTTGCCCAGAGAAGCTGTGGCTGCCCCATCCCTGGAGGGGTTCAAGGCCAGGCTGGATGGGCTTGGAGCAACCTGGGCTGGTGGGAGGTGGTGGAACTTGGAATTCAATGATCTTTGAGGTCCCTTCCAACCCAAACCAGCCTATGATTCTATGACATCCCTGGTGCTGCTCAGCCCAGATCCCCTCTCCAGGCAGGGGTTTCCTGGGCAGCCATGTCAATTAACGCTTGATGAGCTTCTGTGTTCTGACAGTATGTCGGGGTGATGCTCAGTGTTGTGTTGCTGCTTCCTTCCTCGACTGAAATGCATTCCTGCTTTCAAAACGTATTGAGAATTAAAGGCTGGCCCTTGGGGGAGGTTTAATCATAATCCTTAATATGCTGAAATCCTTCCTCTTGATACTAGGAGGGGAGGGTTGCTATGTGGTAGGTAGTTGGAGACCGACCGCTATCTTCTAACCTAAATAGTTCCCAGCAGCATACGACAGAGTGATCATAGTAGCTATAAAGATATGCTTTACAAGAGAGGTTTGTGTAATGATTTTTATAGAAATTAAATTTATTAGAAGTAAAGTTCTGACTGCATGGTATCAGCTCAGTCATAAATGCAGGGTATGGCGGTGACTAATGCTAGACTGCTTCCCCGGGGAGACTCTTATGTTAAATTATATGTGTTGCAATAGCAAGAAAACTGAGCTGAGTTTGGGCTGATCTAGCTCCTGGGTAATTCATTTCTTGTGATAGCACAATAATTAAGCTGTTAATGTAGAGACTTGGAACTATTATGGTTTTATCTGGTAAGACAGTGTGATAGAGAACGTCCTTATCAGCGGTAATTGCATCACCATGTTACATTTCTGCAGTAGCCTCTGGTTCTCCATCGTGTTGGCAGAGTGTTGCATTTTAAGATTGTTCTGGTCTTTTAAAATAGCTTTCCTCTCATCTAGCAACACTTTCTCTTCAAACAGGAGCACAGGCATTTTCAAGAGAAGTAACTTTCTTCCAGGGAGGACATTAGAATAAAATTGGTTCACTAGGGCAACAAAGGAGAGTTGATTTTACTTACTTCTCAGTCCCACTTGATCAAAGCTGGAAATTATAGTCTCTTAATGTTGTTGGGGCTCAATCCTGAAGTAGTTGCAGGTACTATTTTGAATTTATTTTGAGCATATACATTTTTTTCATGTATATACAATAGTTATTACATTTATTGTAGTCCATTAAATGTATTGATTTGCCAAATGGGAATGCATATGGTTTTGATCCTGGCAATGAAAATCTGCATAAGGATTGTGTCCCAAGTCATACCTAGGCCCCCAGGGTAGCAGATATTAGTCTCGGGCAGACATTTCCAGCTGAAGAAAGATGATACTTTTGGTTTCTTTGCCTGGCCTTGCCTCCCTCTTCAGCTTGAGATTGCAAAAGAACATTTTCCTCTAACTTGTCCTACCAATAAACCTCAAAGGTGTTTGGGAGGCTGTTGTGATGATCGCTTTCTGTGCGCTCTGGCAATCACGTTTGCGTAGGGCTTGCTAAGAAATTGAGAAATAGAACTAAAAGTAAAGAAAGCGTGGCGAAACCCCCAAGGTCACTGATGCAGTAACTACCAAAATATCTCTACCATGTGTTTGTCCTCTTCTTTCCTCAGAACAATGCCAAGGTAGCGGTGCTGGGGGCCTCGGGAGGCATTGGCCAGCCCCTCTCCCTTCTCCTGAAGAACAGCCCGCTGATCAGCAGGCTCAGCCTTTACGATATCGCTCACACTCCAGGCGTGGCAGCTGACCTCAGCCACATCGAGACAAGAGCCAATGTTAAAGGTACTGCAAGCCACTGGAAACCATCTGTGCTCTGAAGGAGTCCCCTCAGGTGTCTGTGACACGTGGAGATGCTTGTAAAGGGGAATCTTCACATAATTCTGAAGCCTAGCATCAATTAAAGTAGCTTTTTCTCAAGCAGCCCATGACTAAATAGGGTTTAGCTGGTTAGATTGATATGTATGGAGGTGAGAATGGTCTGTTGAAGAGGAATTATTAATAACTGCCAGGAAACATTCAGTAAAATCATCTTGGAAAAAAGCTTGAGCGTTGAATTTAAAAGTTTGACTACAAATAGACTTAATACCTCCTGGGTATTTACACAGATTCTGTGTGCTGCTTTTCTGAAGGGACAGTTGTCAAGGTCTGATGAAATCAAAGAAAACTTAATCTGCTGATCTTTGTTTTATTTGAAGATCACTGAAAGGTTACATTTTACTTGAATGTGTCTTTGTGCTATTCTTTGGGGGCACTGACTGTAGTGCTAAGCTGGGGGTTTTGGAGAGTAAATATACATAGTGGGAGGAACCGAGGGTTTTCCAAACAGATGAATGTGAGGTTTCTGCCTCTCTTATTCTTTAAGTTTTGAAACAAGGGAAAAACATCAAACAGGGTCCATCCACAACTGTATTTCTTTGCTTTTCAGCATAAGTCTGAATTGAAGGTTACATTTTAAAAAGGAATTGGGCGCCTCTAGGTGTAATTTTGTGCTTCAAAGTGTCAAATATTTAATAAATGGCAAAAACATGATGCATGAATGTCTTCCATTTCAGGCTTCATGGGACCTGAGCAGTTGCCAGAATGTCTGAAGGGCTGTGATGTTGTAGTTATTCCTGCTGGAGTCCCTAGAAAACCAGGTATGTTCTTTGTTAAAAAACCCCAGTATCTCTGCAGTACTGTGCTTTATGGTAGTGTTGGCTTGGGATGTAAGTGGTCTGTTAATGACACTGACCGAGAGCTTGTTGTGGTATCAGGCATCTCCTTTAGCCTCTGTCTTAGACTGTCCCTTCCAAAATGGGCAGAATTGATTTCTGGAGTTCCTGTGTAAGAGTGAGGTGCAAAGACTTTTCATTCAACTGATCCCAAATCTCCCTTAGTGTTTCTTGCCCAGAGCAATGCTCTAGTAAAAAAAAATGGTTCTTTGTTTCATTTCTCAGCAGAATACAAGTAATCTGTTTGTTTTGTGTTAATTGTATGGTAACTTCTCAGAGTCTCTCTGAATGAATGGCCTTAATCCTTCCTGGAATGTCTCTGACCTGCTCCATTTCTACTCTGTTTTTCAATATCCTATTTGGAATGTAATGAAATTCTAGACTTTAATGCCTAGCTCTTCCTAATTCTTCATTTTTCATGGCTAACGTCGTTACCTCAACAGAAATGAGAGGTAGGCACTTAAGCAGCTAGGGATATTTTGCACAGAGGAGTTGACATTCACACTGTAGCTGTGGAGGTGACTTCAGAGGGGGAGGAGGATTCATTTTGGGAGCAGTTACGCTGCTCTGAGCACCACTGGTCATACTGGTGTGGGTCAGCATGGTCACACCATGCTGCAGGCTGCCTAAGTGAAATACATTCAGACAGTTGACAGCTGGGCTGGGTGGCTCCTGAAAAGGGCTGATCTATCTGAAAGGGCACTAATCTTTTATTAGAGAGGAGTTACCTTTGGAGCCAATTCATTTCTGCAGCTCCAAGAGTTTTCTCTTGACCTATGAAACCAGAAGCTAAAGTTGATATATCTCTGTCCAGAGCAGAATGGTGTTTTTTGATTGAGTTGCTTGCCTGTTAATGAGCAGACTATGGGTAACTTAAAACATTGTACTGGATATGTTTTAGGTATGACCCGTGATGACCTGTTCAACACCAATGCTAGCATTGTTGCTACTTTGACATCTGCCTGTGCAAAGCACTGTCCAGAAGCCATGATCTGTATTATTTCTAACCCGGTAAGCATTTTCTGGAGACCTTGAAAAAGTAGAGGAATAAAAAAAATCCAGCCTGAGAATACTAGAGAAATCTGTGAGTTGCTGTTAGTTTGACCAGTATCTTTAAGGTCTGAAGGGCATTTGCAGAATAGAACTAAAAGCCTTGTGCTGCTAACCCATTTTTCTTGGGTTATATTTAAATCAGAGGAAACTTGGATATAAAAGTGCTTAATATCTCAATATCTGTGTTATTGTTATAATTATTGTTATCATACATGCTGGTGTATTAGCCGGAGTAGAAGTCTTAGCTCACTAAGGGAGGAGCCTTTATAATGTGAATGAACAAATTTATTGTCTTAATGGTTACTTAAAATGGAAGATCTTTACTCCAGCCTGACTGTAAATTGCTCTTCAATTAAGGAATTAAAGTAATTGGCTACAGTTGGCTTCGAGTTGAATGCATGCTTTGGGTTGTTTACTGGCCTGTACAGTTCATGCATTGGCTTCACTATTTTTACTGGCTTTAATGAATGCTTGCCTATTTTTGGTTATAGGTGAATTCAACCATCCCAATAACTTCAGAAGTCTTCAAGAAGCATGGTGTGTATAATCCCAAAAAAATCT